ATTATATGCAGATTTCCCTAGATACAATCCTGGATCAATAGACCCTGGTTGATCAATTAGGGCTTCCCCATGGTTCCCCTAAAACGGTACTCCCTACACCGGGTTCCAGGGGATCGATGAGGTTGAGACCGTTGAGACCTCTGCAGCGAAGGTGATGGCCGTTCTCCCCGACTTCAAGTGCCATGCCAGGGATGTGGCCCGACCAGCTTAAGCTGGCCATTTAAGAGACAGGCGCTGATGGTCTCTTACACATCACAATAGATTATGAAAACATGGATATACACTCGTATATATGATATATATATGATATACATATATATATATATGATAGAGGTTGTAGATATCATGGCAGCTATGTTGGGATTTCTGTTGAGCCCGATTGCCTGAATTGAAACTGTGTTGACCTAGGATGAAGTGGTCCCTTGCTGGTCAATTAAGTGATTCAAAATCATGGCTTATTGGGCAACTCAAGCAGTGTAAACTGCAAACACAAACCAAATGGTTCATGTATGAACCTTGAAATCAAAATCGCAGATTTTGCAGAGGTACTCTGAAGCCTTGGCTCAGGACAGATTTGCCGCAGATTCATCCCTTCCACTTCCTTTACCAGCTGGTGGTAATACAGTAGATTTTGGATACTTGTGTGTGGGTATGTGGAAGAATTGCCTATGGTATATCACCTATGAAAGATGATAAAGATGATAAAGATGCAGTGGTCATATGATCATATATGGTGTATCCCTATGGTAATCATAATGGTAATTCATAGGGGATTCATATGATCATATGAATCATATATCCCCTTATGGTGGTGTATTCCCTATGTGACTTTCAAGCCATTCTTTAGCTGCAGGAGGAGACGGTCCAGGAGATCAGGTGCCAGAACTCTGACATGACACGTTTAAAGACGGTTTAAAGGCCGCATGCTTGAAGATGTTTAAAGGGAAAATCAATCCCCAAATAATTCCAAACCCAGTTTTTTTTTTTTAAACCACATTTTTTCACCTTTCCATTTTATCTTGGGATGATCCCAATTGAAGCATTTGAGCCAGGTGCCAGCTGACAGCTTTGTCTGCACAGACCACTGAAGCGAAGGCGGGTCCGGCTGTTTGTGGATGGATGGGTTGGATGCATATAGTACAGTAACCCCCAGGAAACAGATGAAACATCATTTATATACTGTCTTTTTAGTTGGTTTTTATACTGGATTGTATTTTTTGGTTGCTGAAAATTATGGATTGTAATGATTGATAGTTGATGCTTGTGAGATGATATTTGCTTCTGCTGCCACAGTTGATAGTGAGGGATGACTATGAATTGGCTGATTCTCACCAGCCGCAATGGAAATCCCTGAGAACCAGCGAGAACCAACATATGTCTGCAATCATGACTGGTTTTCAGGGACTAGAACCTATCTCACTTGGCAGCAAATGATCTGCAACTGGAAGCTTCACCATGGCCATGTTCACTTGAAAGTGCTGGATGACATCAGGCCACCATCCAGACTGACATGGATGCCGCGCGTCAGCATTTGCAGCAGGCAGAGGCGAGGCTGCCCAAGCCTGAAGACTGGTGATGTCGTCCTTACGATCAACGAAAACAAGAGTTTTCAGTTGCGGTGATGTGACCCCAACTTGGGATTCAACGTCCGACGAAATCCCCCCCCTACAGGCAGCCCTGGAGCAAGTGAAGGAATCTGAACGTCAGGGAGTGTCCCAGCTAGAAGCCAAGGTGTGGAAATGGCAAAGCGGACCACCTCCTTGTGGGGCATGGTTTTGATTGAAACTCTACCGTTTTCTGTGCAAAACGATCTACGAAAGTAGTACCAAGCTTTACGTAGCCTTTTTTTGTTTGGAGCTATCCATTTGCCCCGACTGAAACCATACCTAAGCCAGAATCCTGACCCAGTGTCTGGATGCTGGACCGCAGGTCCGCATCTAGAGGCTGTTGGCCTGGGAGAAGCCCTCTTTCCCAAAGCGCTGAGTTTCTGCAGGTGAACATTCTGGTTGAAGCTCAAATACAGCTTCAGGCTGCAGAGGACGAGAAGAAGAAGGCCCTCCAGAAAGAACAGCTGGGGTTGGTTTCTTTTCCTCACTCAAAGGTCCATCCAATGACTTTTTGAGGTCCTGTGTCACTTGCCGCTTTGGGGCAACCCAGGCTTTGGGAAGACCAATCACAAGAATGTTGGGACACCACCAGCATACCAGAAATTCACCCTCCATTCACTGCACAATTCCATTGTTTGATTTTCATGGATTATTGAATCAGCTCTCGCATTGCTTGTTCGACGTCATGGCACCGCCAAGCTTCACAATGGAACGGTCCCAGGTCGAGAAGGAGAACCATGATGACATTGTCATGGGTGAAGAACTTCGCGAGGTACTGAACTGAGAAAATCAGAAAGGGTATGAGTCAACCTTGGGCGTCAACAGATCAAGAACCCCTGGGCTGTTTAATTTGGAGGTACCATTTCAGTAGCAAATGATCATTTCCTGGCCCCCCTTATCAATCACAGTTTATTAGTCCACCGTTGGCATTACCCTCCTATACCAGAATGGTTCCTACAGAAAATGACCAACACAGTGGGTCCAGGGAAGCAAGCGACACAGATTTGGGTCAGATTTCACCAGGCCAAGAGCAAGAATATTGCTATCAATGAGGACGCGCCTGGCCCTTAGAACCGGCGATCCTTATGTAGCTGAGGTGTGTATTGAGGTGCTGTATCTTCGCATTTCGGGTGGTCAAATTCTTGTTTTGCTGCTACAATCCTCTCCATGAAGAACATATTGGCCACATGTTTGTTGGAACATGAGCAGAGTTCATTCCTTGCTCAAGTTTTGCTTGTAAGCCTTGTAGCATGTCCCGGTTTGCCAGTTTCATTGGCCATCAAGTATGTAAGACAACACTCCTTTGTTGGACAAGAAAACGGCTCTGCGTCTCCTATTTGTCTTGGGGTGATAAGAGTGGAAGAGGTCCAGCAGAATATGACTTGCCAGCAAGCCGCATCGATGCTCCCAGATTTTGCTGCCTTCTGAACGGCTCTTGGACATCTGCGGAGGACTTGGATATTGATATAGACAGCAGCAAGCTACAGCAAGCCCTTTGTATTTCAGTTCTGTTTTAATCTCTGCATCTTCTCGTTGCGAACAATGTAGGTGGAAATCACACACTGTGACAATGTATTCACTGGGGGAGCAGACAGAAACCATCCTGCAGGAGAGAAAGGAGAAGCTTGCGACACTCAAGGAATACCTACAGGTGGGAAGCATTAGGAAGCACTAAATTGCAGCCTCTATAGGGAGAGGTTCTTGGCCATCTTCTCTGCTTGCAAGCTTCTGAGCCATCACCATTTGTACGAAGCAGTCTCGTCTGGATGCGCTGCATCGCAATGCACTTGGTTTCAGGGCTTCAGGGGGTATCTATGCTTTGAAATGCTTTGAATGACTTCTCTGAAGCTCTGCGAAGCCGCAAAAGGAGATTGGGACTGAAAAGACCTTGGTAAAGGCCGCGGATGGCCTCATCACTAAGCCGGAAGTGCGAGGCCGTGGCTGAGCATGGAACTGGTGCCGAGGGCAGTGGATTGGTAGTGCAGAGATGCTGTTTAATTTTAGCTGCATAAAAAACAACGGGGATTGTTATTCTGATGTGATCATGATACTACCGGGTTACTACCTAAATGATAATTGAGTTATCGTGGCATGATGAATCTCCTGAAATGCTGGGAGAAATGGCACAGACCGAAGGTGACTTTGATAAGATGGCCATTGACTACATCACAGAGGCGGGTATTGGTAACTGAGGTAGCTGGTGCAGCTGGGGCCGACACCCTGGCAATGCAGATTTTTTGACAAGCACTGTCCAATTTTGAGCAACTAGCATCAGTTAGTGTTTTTGCAACCACAGCAACCTCGTTATGATTGCGAGTCATGTATGAAGCATGAAGCTTCACAGATTTGGATGTTTTGCGAAGCAAGGAACTCATCGCGAAGCTGAAGCAGGTTGAGGCCTGCTGGGAAGTGTTTGGTTGCTTCCCGAGATTAAGTTTACATGTCTGATGGGGTTCTTAGAATGAGGCTCACTAGATTGCTTTCATTGATATGAGATGCGGTAATATATTCCCATATTCATTGATTGTGATCATATATAATATATTCGCATATCATACACACACACATATCACATATTGATTACAGTATGTTGCTTCATCATTGCGATTTTCCACTATCAGAGTCGAGCGAACCCTTCATGGCACAAGGAGAAGTTGGCTGAACGAGCCCCTGCTGAGAGGGAGGTGCCAAGACGCATTGTGGATGCCTTGCAATAGACCCTGGGTCGTATTCCTTCTATGTTTGGCCTCCAGTTTTGTGAATATTAACTTGCGATTCATCGTGGCCATTGTGTTGAATTCTGTGGATCCTCTTTAGTTGTATAGCTTTCTTGTGCTTGTTAGCACTTTCATCTCCTGCAATGAAGTTGTTGCTCGCTTTGCGGCTGTTGTCATCCACAGAAAGGAAATTTGGACGCACATTATAGCAGAATCAACTCGCGGTTTAACTATTTTTCATTGGTTTTCCCTCCGACGATTGGATTTTTGTCAGAGAATTAAACCCCGAGTCAATTCTATGCCAAGCGGCACGCACCTGAAGTGCCTGGGCCCATACTTGAAAGTGCAATTCCAGTTATGAGTGGATATATATATATATAATTATATATATATAATAACCATAGTTCTACACGTTCATATCCCCAACCACATTCCCAAGATATTTATCATGATTCCACTTCGGGGCATTTTCATAAATCGAGGTGCTCCCCGAATCATTCCAATCATTCTTGTACAAATAGATGCAAATATGATTTGGGCTACGATATTTATACAGTGGAATTTATACAGCGGAAGGAAAACTTGAAGTTTTTTGCTTGGGCCGGATTGCTTGGCAAACTGTTTTTTTGGGGCATGGAATTAATCAGGAGTTAATTCCATTCGTGGCACGGGATCATCCATGCGCCGAAGTCGTCAAGAATTCAATCAGGATTCAATTATTCTTCTGGTAATGCCAGAACATCTTCCGCAGACAGGTTGAATTAAAACAGAAGTTCATTCCAGCAAGCCCTGGAAGGACAAGTTATCAGAATTAAATCCCGATCCAATTCTTTCTAAATCCTGAATTTACCATCTTCCCTTCGGCCAGCAATGGACCCACAAACATACAATTTGTTACATACATAAAACATAATATTATTAAACACCTGCATTTGTTTGGAGTGAATCATTTTGAACCATACCCATCTGGATGTGTTGTTGGAAAACCCCCAGCATTGCAGTTCCCCTCTAAATAAATGCCACGATTGATTTGAGAAATCCCTAGATATCCACATGGAGCGAAGAAAGGTTTCCTGGATATCCGCCACATTTTCTGGATTCATCATACATCTAATATATCATTATCATACTATATGATATATTGTATTGCAGATTACTTGATATATACATTTTTTGTAGCGCACAATAAACCGTACAATAAATATACATATAATACAGGACTATATATATATATTACAGGACAGCATATATCTATATATATATATATAGATAGATAGTTAATACAAGACCATACAATACACTACTGTATCAGTACAATATAATATGATGTGATATGATATCACCGGCCCCCGCAGGAACCTAAACATTAGGATCCTGGTTGCGAGCTTTCCTACCACAAATTGTCATTTCTTACATGAACCAAGGGTGCCTCATGTAAGTCATGGCAATCCCCTTCACTATCACGAATCCGGGCTGACCAGTCAGGGTCAGTTAGCAAAGCTTGGGTTGACTACAAGTATTTGGGGCACCAACCTGGAAGTAGGGAAGCGGAAAAGACAAGGCAGGAAATCCCACATACAGCCAGGAAGCTCGTTAAAGTAGCCTTGTGCAAGGGTGTTTCTCCGATTTGCACGGCTTTTGTCAGGCCCTTGTAAGGCCCTTGTAAGGCTTATGTAATGATTACCTAGTTGGTGGTGAAAATCACATTTTGAATGGATGGGTGATTTTGACGTATGTAAGGTCTATGTAAGGGCTAGGCTATGAAAGGCATTGAAAGTGGGAAAGACAAGGTGGATCAAAAACACAAGGGAACATGGTGATTTTGAGCTATGTAAGGTCTATGTAAGGGCTATGTAAGATATGATCTGATAGATTATTATACAATATACAATACAATACGACAGCTATGATATAACTTATAACATACTAACATGACCCTACATATAATATACTATAGATCATACGTTATAGATTAAAGTTTATATCTTACATTATATTTTGTATGGTTTATATTCGATGTTATATATATATATATACAGACTATATATACTATATGTACTATATGTATTATTTTATTATTATTATTATTACATATAGAGTACCAATATCCCCTGATTAATTGATTCACCCTCCCAGGTGCGGGCAGAGGTGCTGGGCCTTGAGGCGGGAAACTGTCATTATCGAATCAAATGGCCGAACTTTGATATATTATACAAGGCTTATGCTACCCAATAATTCAATATCCCCAGGATTCTCCGAAACCACTATAGGATCGACCTCGTGGTCAGTTGCCAAGTTGCCCATGACCTTGCGATCAGGCGCTCATTGACATTTGCCGGCAGAAGGCACAGATAAGACGAAGCTGTGGCGAAGAACAAAGAAAGATGTTTACCCTTTTAGGATCTTTTAGCTATTTCAGTAGTTGCAAGGTTTGTGACTGAAATCCAGATGTTTATAAGCAAAAGGATGATTGAAATTGAAGGCAACCAGGAGAGGGCGAAGCGGCCAGCCTTTCCTCTTGATTTGTCCGCACAGAACACTGGTGTACGCAGTTTGTTGCTGGAAAAAGGAAACATTCAATAATCTGGCAAAACATAAGCAGTGTTTGGGTTTGGCGAAAGATGAGGCACCCAAAGATATCCTAAAATACTTCTTGTAGATTTCATCATTTTGGGGTCGACAACGTCTCCGCTTTCGACTCGAAGGCAACAGCTGCAGAGGAGCAGTACAAGCAGGTCGAAGTGCCCTGACGAAACCAGCGCCTCATGTGCCACTGTAAGTACTTCGATTACTTCGATTTTGATTGTGGGGATTGTGGGGGTTGCACTTTTGTCTCAGTCTTTAGAGGGCAAACATGTGGAGATCTGGAGTTACTTCTGTGCGTGAGCTGTGGGCTATGCAAACTCGTCCCTGTACACCGTTTTCCAGTTCATCCTGTACATGTTTTTTTTTCTTTAAATGTTGAAAAAGAGCAAGATCAGAACACCAGCAGAGCAATGGGCTTCACCTGAGCTGCTGTCCTGTCTTTGCAGCACCATGCTGTTGATTTTTCAGTTCGTCCCGAACTCACAGTGCAGACCAGGTTGCCATCAAGGGCTCCAAGTCGGAGATGAAGACATGCAAGCAGCAGGCAGGTTTCACCAGCAGAATGTAATGGTGTCGCAGCTTCAAACTCAGCGTAGTGATGGTGAGCGATTCTCATACCGGCAAAGGGTCTATCGAAAGGTTATACAGTTATACAGTTATACAGTTTAGATACCTACCTTCAATACTTCCAGCAGAAGAAGAGCACACACACAAACATAGACAACCATCAGATACTACTGCTCAATTTGGCAAGCAATAACAGCAGCGTGTGATCTGAAGCTCGAGATGCTGCGCAGGTGCATCTTTTTCAAGTCCCTATCTGATCTAGATCGGTCTACCCAAAAGATCCAAAAGGATGTAGGTTCTTTAGCTTGGCAGGCCTGCGGCTTTCCGACTTATGACTCATGACTTTCTAGGTTTTTCTGAACATGCTACAACACGGGCAAGATCAAATGAATGACCCAACATGATCCAACATGTTGGTTAAATGACCAGCCATTCATGGCTCCAAAATGATATGCCTCTTTTGATCGCCCTCTCCGCCGACATTTGGTTCTTCAGTTGCAGTGGGCTGGTTGGATTCTGAAGTGCCTGTTGAATTACGGCAGCCATGGCGTTCCGACACTTGGAGAAGTGGGGGATACACCTCAGTTGCATATCAGGGTCCAAGCCTGTTGTGTTGTGTGCACCTGGCCAAATGAAGCCATGAATTTTCCGTGGCGATTCAGGAGTACTAACGACCATGCTGCTTGCACATATCTGGTGTTCCCATGCAGATATGTATCTGAACAGCCGCAGACTCAGTGCTGTTAAACATTTGGATGGGTCTTCTGAGGCAGCCATTGGATATCCCACTCCTGAGGTCCGCGAGGATCGAATAACAAGCTTCGCAAGCAGAGCAACAATGTGCAGACACTTGTCTGTACCCAGATGTGTTTCTGATGTCAAGCAGAGCAGATGGGATTCAGCAAATACTCTTTGCACTTGTACATTCCGCACTCACATGTACATGTTTCTCCATGCCTCTTGAGCTTGAAGGAATGCAAACAGATTGTTTGACTCCCAGAACAACGCTGCCTCAGGCGCATGACACTGATTAGGAGAGAGAAACAATTGAGACATGTGAGCCTCTCGTATAGTATAGGCCTGAGATACGAATCCAGAGATGAGTGCCATCTTTGATCTTCAGATCACAGGCAACATCAATGCTTCGCAGGCTACCAGATTGGAGATGACTGCAAGCCAGCCTGCAAGGATGGAAACAACAACTACGATGTTACGGTGGAAGGTACCAATGGGAGTCAAATGGGAATCACTCAGCGACCCTTGGCTGATCATTTCGCTGATTTTGGGCCGCCCTGAAGGTGCAACTAAAGGCACTATGAAGTTCTACCAGGGGTCGGAGCTCTATTTGGAGTGGCATATGCAGTGCCTTGGATCGAGGGTGTTGTGTCTGTTCGATGTCTGAAGTTGGCATTGCTGTCGTTTCAAAGGCATGGCTGTGGCGTGGGGCATCCAAACTTGCGGTGCCAGAGCCGTGGCTGAATGGATGCACCGAGATCACTGAGATTGAAAGATGTTGCGCTCACAGTCTTAAACCAAAATCATCCAGATGCTCTACAGGCATTTCGTGCACTCCACAGTATGTCTTCCTTTTTGGGCATGAATTGCACCTCCATTGGGCCAGCTGGGCAGGATCGTGCTCCAGTACATGACGGATGGAGACAATCCCAACATGCGCGATGGCACTGACCAAGACAGCGCTGGGGGCGATGGCAATGATCCCACTGAAGAGGTGGCCGGAGGGTGAAGCGGTGAAGCCGTCGAGAGGATATGACCAACGACCCCATCGGGGGTGAAACTCACAAGTGGTGGTTGGTTTCAAGCTTCAAATGCTTCAAATGCCATAAATTATCGATGGTCGGGGATGATTGGGGGCGCAGTTGCCATGTTTTAGAGCTGAGTTCAACCGGACCTGGGTGACAACGCCTTGTGTATGTCATGTGTCAAGCCGGCAGGAAACAGCTGAACCGGCCCGGGGCTATCATGAGCCGTACGACTTCTACCAGGCCCCGTGCCTCCAAGGCTGTGGCCATGAATTTTGTCCATGAAAATTTATAGTACTGGTAACTTTAGAGCACTTTGAAGCCGTGGTGTTGCATATATCATTTGGATAAAAAAAAAAACACATAAAATCCAGGTCAGTGATTTAAAAATCCAGAGAACATCCATAGAAATCTAGGGTTTTGTTTCCTTTTTTCCCTCAAATCAGCGGACGGATTCCGGGTCATGGAGGTCACCCTCAGCTACATGAGGCCTGCATTCAGCGCGAGCGCAACAAGGGGCTTTTTACGGCGGATCAGCAAATCGAGGAGAATGGTGCGCTACCAGCTCTGTTTTTAGAACACTTCGAAATGGTTTTGAGTCTAGAAAATATGAGAAACTCTGTGAACATCTGCAGGTGTTTTGTCTTGTTCGTTTTTGCAGTTGACGTTGTAATTAGGACTGGTGTGTGGCAGGGTTTTGGAGGGGACAGTCACATTAGATCACATTAGTCTGCAATTTTGCAGGTGGCGCTACATCCACTCGGCAAAACCCCAATGGCAATGGTCGGCGCCGGGGCAATCAGCGTCATGGTCTGGAATGCCCCGAGGATATGCTGTGGCTCTGAGGTTTACATCAAAATGCCAGGGCAAACCCTCCCCAATAATAAGGTAAACGATGGTAAACGCATGTAAACCCAATAATAAGGTAAAACCATGTAAAACCAACTCCCCAATTGGGTATACCTATATATACCTCGTTTTGTTCTTTTGGATGATGTGAAATTACCCCAAAATAGCTACTGGGATGGTTTATGGCACGGGGTTTACCACATGATTCGCAGAATTTCTGCAATCGTTGCCATGCAAACCAACTCTGGCAAAGCTGGGCTGCCAGGAAAGAGACTATTTTCCCTACTGGCATCCAACCCCTTGGCACGACATTGCCGTCTTGACGGAGGAGCCACAAGAGCGTTGTGCCTATGCGAAATGATGAGGGATGTGTTGACAAAATTCTCAACCTCTCACCAAAAACTATTTTAGCACCGGAAACTCGGAAACCACTGGTTTTGCATGTCGGCGTTTCCAAACAGTGGGGGCTTTATTTCCCGCACCTTTGATGCAATGGACACGTGGCGGACTTGCACTCTTTTCCCAAACGATTTGAGAAGAACAACGCTTCGCTCCTTTTCCCTGCAGCTTCACCAAGGGTGCATGTCGACTAGGAAGAAACGAAGTCGGTAAGTTCACGCAGCTTGAGACACTTGACCGAGGTGAATACTACAGAACAGAGTCTCAGAATGTGCAAGACAAAGGCTACTGCACTCTGCCGCAATACAACAACCCGACTGCTTGCGTTGCCAACGCTGGCGTCTCTTGACAAGCACTTATTCGCATGTTGTGAAGAAACGGGTGGAAAACGAGGATATTCCGGGATTGGTGCCTTAACCACCAGACGTCCATATCGGCAGTGCAGAGCCTGAGGAGTGGAAGGTGCAAGCGGCGTTTAACGAGCCCCCTCCGGACTGCACCGGAGGCGCCGTGCCGTGCTGTCAATTTGTGGCTGCCAGTTGTTTCTGCATCTGGAAAGCCAGGAATCTCCAGCCGGGACAACCACAATGGCAACGTCAGGAATGGTCAACCGCATTACTATGTGCCTCGACACACCGAGATATTACACCAAATGACAGATTAGACATACCCTGAGGTAATGACTTCACTTGGCAAGTGTTGGTGCGACAGTTCCAGCCGATTCGCGGAATGTTCTTTTTCCACTGGTTGGTTGATTACACGCACAATAGAGGGCTCTCCCCATTCAACAACCAATAGGTACATGATTCGATGATCATTGATGAGAATAACATATCATAGATACAATATGATATAACATGATATAAATAACATGGCAAAGCGGCTCCTCTTTTTATCCTGAGATGTGGAAGATCCCGGACTTTCTGAAGGGTCGAGTGGTGCTGCGGATTCGTTACCTGGCTGAGTCAGGGGGGCATTTCTTCGAATTCCACACACTCACATTGTAGAATATATATATACATAATATGATATGATATGATATGATATGTCATGATATGATATAATAATGTATATATATAATACCATATATATATATAATAGCTGTAATATATAGAAATCGATAAATCAGTAAACACATAAATAAAACATAAAATAACATAAAGTAAAATAACATGATATATTTCACAGACATGGACGATCCGTTTTATTAAATGTGGGTTTACCATGTGGCTGAGTTGATGACTTGCCGCCTCCAACGACAGCTCCAGGTTATAACATCACCACCAAAGACTTCGACTACGGCTCCCTGGCAAATCCTGTCGAGGAAGGGGCTCAGCTCTCAGGCAGGAACATCTGGTTGCGGGGAACCGGAGTTGGCTTCGTTATCATCCCAACCTTGGGATCATCATGGTTACTGTCATAATCGGTTAATATTGGGTTAATCTTGGGAATAACGGTAAACAACTTTTTGATACTTTTTCATTGGGATATATTGGGATAAACCATGACAAACCTGCTTGATCTTTACTTTCTGAACACGCCCCACATGCAGATGTACTGCCTAAAGGCGTCAAAGCCGATCCCTTCTTCATGGACTCCAAGTTCAATGACCCGAATCCTGGCAATCGTCGCCGCAGGCGCTCATCCAAGTGAATGGCTTTCTGAAGTAGTTAACTCTAATATAATAACAATAATATACAGTATATATATATATATATATAATATAATATATATATATAATATAATATATATATATATCCCCAATAATAACTGTACTTAGATATATTCCCTGTAGATTTTTCGATACTTCTTTTTCTTTTCTTTCCAATCTTTCCAAATGGTTCGCAGGACGTTCAGTGGGCGCCCAGGCGTGCCGCTTCCACTGGCTCAGGAGATTTTTGCGACCGTGGGGGGGGGTGGCTTATCACCCAATTAGATGGTTGAAATAGATTGGTTCAAAATGGTTCAAATTTATGACACTTACTTTGGTGGTTTCATCAAGTTTGATACTAAACACCACAGAAATCTGTGGGTTATCTCTGGGTCAAGTGCCCCAACTTTGCCTCGCTAGTGGTGTCGAGGACCCAGTGGCAGATTGGTTGAAGTTGGGAGAAAACGCCCTGGACACCAGTCGCCACTTGTCCGGAAATTCGATGTGTTTCGGGGGATGAACATCCGGAAATCCCAGCCATTTGGGTGTGAAATCAAGGGTACAGAGGAGGGCCTAGACCCACTTGAGTTTCACCCCAAAGAACTTGTGCTCCACCATCTGCGACGGTTGTGTCACATGTTGGGGAAGTGCTGAGGTCTTCTGCAGTTGCAGGTGAACACCAACCAGTTTGGCCGCACGTTTGAGGATCGGACGCATACCTTCATTGTGATGGAGAGGCGCTCCATCGCAGTGAAGCCTTTGATTTTGACGTGGAAGGTGACCTTAGGATGTGACGCCCCTGCTATCGTAGTGTTCCTTTCGTTGATCATGTTTTTGGTCGGTCAACGACTGTCCTGTCAACGTGACTTTCCTATCAACTCCTGTTGTGGAATATGGGATGGGCGGACGTGTTCAATGGCATTTTCCAAATAGTCCCCTGCAAAGGCCCGCAGATGTTGCTATGGAAAGACGAATCGTCAACGTGAACGTTCGCAGCCGGGCAGCAATGGCACGCGATGTACTTGGGCCCTCCATGTCAGAAGCAGACTTTGACAACTGCTCTGGGCGCGTTTGAAAAAGGGTAGAACGGTATAACCCCCAAATGGCCATCTTGATTCGGAAATGATGATAAACGGGATCTTGTGACACTTGTGGTATCCTAGACAAACCCATTTGTCGGATCTGTCCTGCAAACATCAAACAGCAGTGTCACAGCCCTGTCTCTGAGGCGGCCGACGTGGGAACATTGTGCAAGTGTACCCTTCAGTGGAATATGATTTCATCCCATCAGATCTGTCCGTTGAGCCTCTTGACTTGCAAGACGTGTACAGTGCAAATGTGTGTACTTTGGAAGGTTTGAAGATCTAACACTCTCCATCCTGTATTTGCAGCAGTTTCGGTTCATTGGTCGTAGTCTAAAATGCTGTTGGTCACTGTACTTCTTTATTCTTGTCGGTTGTACAAGCAAAATCTGCCCATGACATTTGTTTGTTGGTTGCGACGAGGGTTGGCACGCTCTTGCACTTCCAGTGGACCGGCTCTGACGCCAACAATAACAACAATGCAGGTGTGGCTGCAATGATGTTGGTCACCTCAAGGGGATACCAATGGGGATAGCACCAGCAAAAATGGGTGATGGATGGTGATGGACCAATCCGAAGCACGGGAATTTTCCCAGTCGAAAAACCATCACTGACCGATGCCACCGCTGCGAAGGTAATGGTCGTGCAGGAACCGACCGATCCAATCTGGTCCAGGTGCGCGGCGGTCCGGGTGGCAGAGGTTTGGACATTAATGTGGCAGATGAACTGCCAGGGATAGAAGCAACGAAACGGAAAAAACAAACAGAACATTTTGGCAGAGAAGCAACTGAAACTTGGGATCTGCTTGGGATTCAAGATTATTCAAGCAACGAGAAGTGGCACATCAGTGTTCTAGATGACCAACAACAATAGGGGATCCACCGAAGTCCAATGAGGGTAGAATAGAACCATTTCATGCGGGTGTGTTCCAACATTGTAGACCCTCAAAAATCCCATAACCAGTCTATCTGAGAAATGGGATAGCATCTTAGGTCTTGGGTATACATCCAGTGGTCATATATATTGGGTATATGTCCTCTCTACCTCTAGAATACGTATCACACTTCACATGTTGAGCATTGAAACCTGCCAGAATTTGTCAAGAGATCCAGTTGCTTGTGCTGACCGCCTGGGTTCTGCCAGATCCAATCACGGGCAGAGACCATTCCATTGCCCTTGGAGAAGCACCTCGCGGGGGATGGGTATCTAAATCTTGGGGGCTGCAATCAGCAGCAACAAGGACAACAAATTGGGATGGCTGACAAAACAACTAAGACTAGCTAAGAATAGGAGCTGGACCAACCAAACAAGAATTGCAGAACTTGAGAGGCCTGTCATGTTGACCCATGGTCGTTGAAGGAGATTTGCCCTTATGCAGCTTGAGCAATCTTCTAAAGGATTTTCGTGGCATACTCACAACATTGACAACTGCTGGATGCAACTATTTCCAATTTTTATTGTTTTCTGTTTGTGATGGTGCTTTGCAATGTACTGGATGATGCCTGCTTCATTACTCAGCTCATTCAACAAATGCTGTGATGTTCAGCTGTCAAGCACTGACAGGGTGATCAGAGTTTATTTTATACTGCACAGTTGTTAGCTTGTTGGTCTTTGTAATTTTCATTCAAGAAACTATGGCATCTATGACTGTTCAAAGTGCTTCTCTTTTGCCTGAGGGAATTCATCACATCCTCAGCCATCAGTTTCCTGCCTTATCCTGACTTAGGCACACACTCCTCTTCGATGCCAGGGCCAATCCCAATGACCCGGTGCCTTGCTGATTTCCGCACAGATCAAACGAGTCAAACGAGTCAAATAGAGTCAACCTATTCTAAGGATCAGAGTGACTGAGTGAACATCTCATCTCAGTTGCTGCATACCAGTAACAACCCTCCCATCTATATACCTCATATTGTGATGGGTCATGATGGGTCATGATGGGTCATGATGGGTCAATATGGGATGAAGATCCACAAGTGCCAGGCTGGGAAGGCTTTGGTGGACAAATTCGCATATTTGGACCAGGACCAGATTGTCACATGCTGCTGGGCTGGGTGGAGCGGCGGAACTTTCTGACTTTTGGGTGGAGCGGCGGAGCAATACTGAAAACCCCAGCTCTTTGTTGAGTCGATGGCTTGTGGGGTCCCGAGCTAACGTGCTAGCTCCCACCCTCAACCAGTAACTTTGGGACAGAAGGTTTGCGCAGGGATCTCAGTACTGAGTATCCCCTGCCGCAGGGCAAAGTTTGACAGAGCGACAATCTGAGACAATCTGAGGCGATCCAGACACCAACGACCAAAATTCTGAGACGCTCGGCTTCACCAAAAAAGACAGGTCTAGTGACGGCCAGTCGGTTTCTATACGGTGTTGAGTCCATCGACACCTTGACCATTGAGAGCAGAGATGCGATTTTAGAGATGTGTATAGATTGTAACTGTAATCCATAGGATCGGCTCAAAATGATTGACACCCCAAATTGCATAGTCCGCACTCCGTACATTTGAGCTATACCAAAATCCAATATGGAATTTGGATCTGAAGATTCGTCTTTCCAGGACGACAAACTTTTACTCTCTTCACCCACCATGAGACAAGGACCAACTGCAAGCAGCTGAATGGCGCTTCAGCCTATTTTGATGGTGGACTGGTAGAAATGAAGGTGGTGGGCGAACACCATTTTGCGAGCACCCGAAACAATGTGTCTTGGTGATAAAGCGGAGGCGGAGGGTATGTTTCAGATGAAGAGGATTACCGATCGCTTCAGATTCAACCGGATTCTTGCTATTTGTTTATCTCTAGCATGAAGCCAAATTTGATTAAATCGAGTCAAAGCTCTTGCTGTCATTAGTTGAGTTCTACCCCCATGATATTCCCATATAATATATATATATATTATCTATTTCCTTATTATATCCCTATTATATTGTTTATTGCTGCCGTTTGTGCCGCTGAGGATTTCACAAACAGATCTCACAAGTCCTCCATCAAAGTCACAGGCTTCGCCTTCGAAGGCTACGAGAACATTGCCCTTGGCGTAGGCCTCCCCGCCGGGACACCGGGACAAGCATGGGGAACAGTGACACGGTGACGCTTGCTTGCTATTGTCAATGCTTCCTCGTCAGTTGAATATAGTAAGCTACATTAAGACAAAGTGAATGTCAGCCAAGCTAAATTGAGATATTTTCTTTCACACAAGTATCAAGCCTTAACGCAAACAAAAAGGGTCGCGGCCATGCTAGTCTATTCTTTTCATCTCTATCAAAAGACCTGGCAGTTTCTTCAGAGTTAGATTCGATCATGATCAAAGTCGGTTTGCCAAGAGTCGGCATGCTCCAGCTATGCCATCAGCCTCATCAACCTCATCAGCCTCATCAGCCTCATCAGCCTCATCAGCCTCATCAGCCTCATCAGCCGCGACGCCAGGTTGTTTTTTGGGTTTGGTTTTGATCATCTACATCGCCGCAGCAATCCATGCCTTTAGGACTGCCAATGAAGGGTGTGAAAGTTTGCCTGGCCTTGCGAGGAGAAATATAGGGGACGGCCCACTAAGCTCCATTTCCAGTGGTGGATTGCTTGCCCCGGATTTTGGAACTACCAGGATATCTCCTCCACTTGCGTATATTATCATTATATATATATATATCGTATTATTGCGTATTATTGTCAGCATGACGACGATGACGACGACGACGACGATGACGACGATTGTTATCACCTTTATATCACCAATTTTGAGGCAGGGAGATTTGCTGAGCTGCCCTGTTTGCTCTAGGAGACCAGGTAGCTGGCTGTTCTCCCGGCGCTATCGACCTCGAATCTTAGGATGGGTTCTACGCAAGGTGCTTGGCCACAGCAGCTTACTACATGTCTCTTCAAGGGATTGGCAATGTTCAAAATGGGGGTGGAGGAGCTTAGAGACCAGTTTCCCTTCCTTTGAGGAGTAATCCCTTGATCATCATTTTCCCGATTATTTGATGGCCATTTGCAGCTTCAGACAAACCCAAGTCAAAGATACAAATTGCCAAGCATCATAACTGGCCAGGGATATCCTAGTCTGCTGGCCGATCCACTGATCAGGCGACTATGGATCGGTTGGTCGAGGAACGAAGAGTTCTGGTCGCGCAACGAAGGACCGGCCGACCGGCGGTTTGGGCGAGATACCTTGGGCCATGGCCAGTTTTCCGACACTTCAAAGATCTTCAAAGTGAAAATGCACACGAAAATGGCTTTAGAATATCTATGCATACGAATATGTAGCTTGTAAAACTTAGGTTGTCCCCAACAAAGATGGTTTTCTAATGTTTTCCAGTTCCAGAAGTAAGTCCGCAGCCCTGGTGTGGTCGCGACTAGATATGGAGAAGTTAAACCGTTAAAGCCACATAAGGACAGTCCATGTAATGGTGGGTGTTGGGGTTCCAATTCGGCGGATCACCAAGTTGGGGCTCCGGTGCCAATCTCACAGGAGGGAATGGGCCAAGAAGGCCAACGCTCATTGTGGAGATGAGGAGGGTGGTACTGAGAAGGCAGGAATGGCAGGATCGCGACCCCTGAAAGTGGTGGGGAAACCATCCAACTTGCCATTCATTAGATGTCTCAGGCTCCTGCCACGCTAGTTGGTGATTCTTTAGTGACTTAGACTCTCTGGTTGAGGATTTCGCACGCAAGTTCCATCTTGCCATCTCTTATTGTGATGGGACACCCCTCTCCTGGGGTATGGGTCAATACGCATGGGATCTGTACGGATGAAGATCCATTCAGTTTCCAATTTCATGTGACAACCATGCGGTTGAAGCCACCCAACTAATTATCCATCAACAGGATCCCATAGAATGAACCCTGGCGAATTTTGCAGGCGGCCGAAGTGGCTCTCCCTGAGGACAGCCCAGTTCCCCATCGAGATGGCAACATCCCTTCCAACTGGACATTTTATACATGTCTTGAACCCCCTGGTGTAGTACAGGATCCTATTCATTTGGGGTCCCCAAGTTGGGGGATTTCATTTTGGAGGGATGGGATTCCCATAATGCCATAGGGTCTTTGAGGTCCTCCTGTGGCTTGGATTCAATATACTCACAGCCAGCAGGAGACGCTGTCCTGGTTTCAGAGCATCACGCGATGCTTCCGCAAATGTGGACTGGGAGAACAGCAGCTCACCACCCTCATGTGCCTTGTTTTCATGTTTTTTAAAGACTGGTCCGGTGCTTCCCAGGAAAATCTACAGAAAATCCACATGTTTGGGGGTAGGAACCATGGTTTCCTCATGTTTCCTCTAGAGTTTCCCTGAAATCAATGGATTGAGTGCGTTTTTTCTCTGGCATTTGCACGGATTTGCATGTCTTGGCCAACGTTGGCATGGCAACACTGAGGTTCACTATCCTCAACGTGATAGTTTTCGCCATCGGTTTCATCTCAAACCTGGAGGGCGGCTTCCAGAAATCCTTGGCTTTCCCCTGCGCGAAGGCCGAAATGGATGGCCGCCATGTCAGATTTGTGGATTCTGGTAGTGCTGGTGGTGATTGTGGTCTCATTGGCAGTTTCCTGAAATCTTGAAAGAGCATGACACTTTGGATTTGAACATGAAAAGCGCAGCTTTTCCACGGCTCAAGATTAATTTGTGAGCCTCCACAGTGAGGCAATCCCAATTTCCCATGAGAAAAAGGTGAGGTTCGTGGATGCCCAAAACCTTCAGCCTCGAGGAAGTGGCCAAGCACAACAGTGCCGAGAGCTTGTGGGTGGTCATCAACAACAACGTTCACGATGTCACGGCCTTTCGACTTATGCATCCAGGGGGCGCTGAGTTGCTACTGCAGGTGGCAGGACGGGATGCCACTGACGATGCAGAGAGGGCCCATGGCAACAGTCGAAAGGCTAAAAGCCTCATGTCCAAATACTGCATTGGGACTTTGGCAGTGGAGCAATTCCATGGACAGGTGCAAAATGGCAAAGTAGCTAGCCTGGTGTTTAGGATTCTGCAACTGCTTGTTTTTCGAGTCTTTTGTCGTAGGGTAAATTTGTGATATATTTGAACGTGTTCATCCATTTGTGCATGGTGAGGTAATGTCATTAGAAGAGCTCGCAGATGCTGCCAGTGGTCCCCAGATTCCAAAGATCCCTGTGGGGATGGTTGCGTTGGAACATCTCGGGGACGAAGCTCCAGCCTCCGTGGCGACCGCGCCAGCGGTCCCATTGGATAATTTTGCGAGCACTCCGAAGAAGGTCATGGCCTTGGACGACTTTGGTGAGGGAACTCGGGTCGGTCCAAGTGGCCCAAGTGGCCCAAGTGGTCCAAGTGGCCCAAGTTTAGGCTCTCCTGCGCCCAAGATGGTGGCCTTGGAAGAGCTTGGCAAGGAGCCTGAGCCACGCGCGAAGATGGTGGCTTTAGAGGAGCTGGGAAAAGAAGAGAGCAATGGCAAGAAAGTGGTGAAGTTAGAGGAGCTTGGTGAGGATCCTTCCGGAAACCATGGCTACCCGCTCTTTGCCCGGGGAACCAAGACAGGCAGAAAGCGCACATTGGAGGCGCAAACGCAGGAGAAGCCAACGGAACAAGCTCAAGAGGAAGTGAATGAAGTGGTTGATCCCGAAGAGGATGAAACCAAAGCACATGTGAGAATTTTGTTGGCCAGTTGGGCCCTTGCAAATCAGAAAGAAGAAGCGGTGGAAGAAGCCCACATCAAGGAGTCAGAGGAAAGTGAGGACGAGTCGGAAAAAGACCAACCTGTCGTAACGTCAGGGGAAAAAACAACAAGCAGATGGCAACGGATGAAAGGGAACTTTCGCAGCAGCTTGGAATGGAGGAATGATAAAAAAGGGAAGAAGGAGGAAAAGAAAATTGCTGACGATGATGGCAATGAAGGTCAAGAAGAGTCGGTACAAGCACTGATAGGCCAGACTGTGGAAAAAACATCCAGATTTTTCCAAGTGTCCAGTTGTTTTAATCCAGATCGTTAACCCTTCATTTTGTGCCACCATCACACACACAGAGACCCTATGAGCGACCTTGAGACTAACTTTATTGTTAGTGACTCTGCCAGTGCCGAAGTGTGCCAACCACTAGTCACTAGTCCGAATGACAGGAAGCAAAGTGCCTACAAGCTATGCGGAGATGTTTGATTTTAATGCCACTGTCATGGGCTTTGGAAAGCACAAGTGGCTCGCAGAAGTGAACCGAAGTTTCGATGACATAGTCAAGAATGCAGCCAAATTGGATCGCTTGCAGGAAGAAACTGAGGTTCCGAACTTAGACGGCCAAGTGAACAGATTTAGTCAGTCCCAGATTTCTCCCAAATACCATGAAGAGTGGACATCCTGCTTTCGCGGCCTGCAATGGAGCTGCCAACAGCAAAGAGTGGCAAGAAGTCCATCAAACTGTGTTCAAAACTCATTCGAGAAGTGCTCAATGGTGGTTGATGTTCGGGACCCGGGATATATGATTGATTCGATTCATGAACTAAGTAATCCAGGGAACCCTGACCTCAAGCAGATAACCAGATAACCAGTTTGGGGATGAGAGATTTGTTACGTGAGTCCTGAGGTTCTTGCTCTCCGTATTGGCAAGACCGCAGAGGGCGAAGTCACGCTTTCGATGTACAAATCTGCGATGCTGGCAGCTCTCCGCTCAATGCTTCCCAAGATTCCTGGTGCTCAATTAATACTAATCCAGATACTTCAGCACTGTATGGACAAACCAAACATTTTTCAATCATTCCATTTGCATCATTCCATTTGGGTCTCCGGCCAATATTGCAGTAGTTGTAGTTTGTTGTACCAGTGGTAGCCCAGTCCGAGCCTGGAACCTGCGGTCACCATCGGTCACCAAGGACTTGGGATCCGCATCATGAGACTGCTTGGAATTGGCTATGGGAAATCGTCGACAAGCATCCTTGCAGCAATTGGTTTGGATATGTTTGGATATGTTTGGATGTGTGCTGTGCTGCATTTGTTTATTGAGATACCTTCCTGATCCACGTTGCTTCTAAGTTTACCGCTAAGTTGAGATTGTTTGACAGAAAGCTGCATGATAGACAGCCTTACAGCCACTTGCCTTTTTAGGATATCGGATAGCTTATGCTTCATTTCTGGTACTCCAATTGGTCCCCAGCTATCTACGGTAGTAAGCATGGTTTTAGACGTTGCCCAGGAACCTCCGGGAAGTTCTGAGCAAGCCGCGAGTATGGCAGCCAGAATTGGCACGATTGATGGCAAGGCGCGACAGCAATCGGAGGGTTTGTGGGGGCATAGAAATATATAATATATTGAAATGAAGTGGTGAAAGGTGCTCCTGCATGCATTTATGGGGAGGATTATAGGGGAAATATGATGGGTTAGTTGTTTGGGAGATTGATGATGGCCCAATTCTTTCGCCTGGGTCTCAGCCATGTATAGAAAAAGGGTTGCTTTGGGACAACACCCGCACGGGACGTGCTGCTTGTTTGCTCTATGTTGGCCGTAATTAGATGTTGCCTTTGGGCAATGTTTAGCCGACGTTGGGCCTATGTTCAGGTTAGGCCAGGTCCATATTAGACCCATGGTGAGCCCATGTAGTCAACAAATAATCTATGTATTTTCTTCTCACCCTGCAGACTAAACTTACTTAGAAAAGACAACAATCATTATAGTGATAGGAAGGTTCAACCTGGGGCAAACTGGCCCAAACCTCAATTGGGCTCAATATAGCATCCCCGTATGGCCTGCAGGCTCAAAGGACGCTCAGCATCACTCAACAAATGACGCAATTGGATGTTCCAAAAATCAGCCCACTGGGCTCAACATGGAAATTCCGCTAATGCAATGCACTTTGAATGTTATATGACCAATACAGATTCAGTATAGGTTCGATATGGTTTGGTATAGTTCTGGAAGGCCAATATCCTTTGAACGACTTTAAGTATGACGCTGATATTGCCAGTAAAACATACACGTTGAGCGTAAGTGGAGCCTGTTGATTCTTTGTCGAGGTACTCCGACAAAGAAAAGGAGGCGATGCGCGATGAAGTCTATGTGCGCTTCTTCCAGGTTCCGTGAAGAATGCATTGAGATGAGCAATTAATAATACCTCTCTATCCCGTCTACTTAGTTGGTTGATGGGTTTCCCTAATGTGGGTCATAGCTACCCAATAATTACCCAGGCAGTATAACTCCCTGTAATAACCAATCAACCAGGCTAGCGGCTATTCTCAATAGCCCAGATGTGTTGACTAGAAGAATCACTTTGTTTCAAGCTACTGGCTCCTCCAAGTTCTTTCATGGGAGGTTGTTAGAGCTAAATGACTATTGCATGTCTGTATTGACCACAGGGTGAAACGGTGATTTGACCTTTGTATCTCTTGCCCCCCTTGTATCCGGGGTGTTGCGAGCAACCCTGTTCACATTGTTCTATGAGGCAAGCATCTCATACCTTGACAGGTGGCTCCTTCGGGGCAAGAATACTTCAAGCAGTCCAACACCAGACTACACTTCATCGCCCAGCGCGCGATGGACATGACTGGAGAGCTGTTTAACGACCCCTGGGAGATCCTTGAGCCCAGATATCGATCTTTTATCCCCTTTGGCAACCATTTTTGGGACAAAGTTGCAACATGAAAGTATCTCCCGGTGAACATTTGCAGATCTGCCTCAGGATGACCGAACTGATCTCAGCTCTTGGTCTTCGCCATGTCGGCTATGGCATCCCAACAGAGTTGGTTGGGCCTTTCGCCAACTGCTTCGTAGAGGTGCTGCGCGAAAATGCTCCCGGGGAAGATGCTGCGCTGGAGGGCTTTGAGTGGTCTATCAAGCTGGTGGCCAAAATCTTGATTCGAGTGATTCAAGAAGGCTCTACCATTGTCATGAAGGTGGGAACCTCAGACCTATATACAACATATTCTTGGAAATATGGAGATGGAACTGGTATCACTCGATATAACGGTATAGCAGTAAAACCTATGGTTCAGCATATTTGGGGGGATGAACCTCCATGAATCCCAGAATTTTTGGAAATGCGAAAATTTGGGTGTGAAACTACGTATTGTTTAGGGGGCCTTGTTTGGCTGCTCGGCAAGCTTTTGAAAGGTGTCCTAGAAATATGACACCAGCAGCTTCCAATTGCACCTGATAATCAGAGATGCAGTATGATACTACTGTAATATCTGTAATGAGTAAATCTTTAGTTTGTAGCTTGATGGATTACTTCTCCCTATGAATGAGGGAATCGTTCATAGCCCGTACTTCTTTCACGAGCTGTCGCCAATTGTTGTTGGATATCAGGATATCCCGAAAGTATCCTGTAATGTGGGTAAAACAATAATAAACCACCCCATGTTTGATGGTTTATACCACCCATTTATGATATTTATGGTGATTTGGGGGACGGGTTATTATTGTTTTAACCACATTTATGATGATCATCTGGGTATCTTCCCGGTTGGATGAATTCTTATCGAGGCCATCAATGCCAACAGCGCCTTACAGCTGCGGAAAGCCATTGCCTTGGCGCCGCGTGGCGAACGTGCACAGTGGCTGTTGTGCATCCAGGCGATGGGAACAGCAACAAAAAACAGGGCAACTTTCATGGGGAAAATGATGAACCACTGGATGGACTGGACTCTGGGTAGCCGATTTTCAGAGCCATATTGGAAATCAATTGGCTAAATATTTGGTCCATTTGACATCCATTTCGTTTTTTTTGGGGTGTGTCTTGTTGTTTTGGACTCCTTGAGACTCTGTTTTTGGGGCTGAATCAAAGGTCCTCTGTTGTTTTGAATCAGGTTTCTGGAGGGACATTGGTCGCATTTTGGGTGTAGTGGAAGTGGTTAGTATGACTATACAGCCTCTATTGAAATGGCTTCTGAAGCTGCGGGCCCGTTTTCAGAAAAGGCCTCCGAGATACACAGAAACAGCCAGGTAAGGACGGTATTTACTAGGCTTTATTCATGGATCGCTTGACCTCGGGTTCTCTGAATGCTCGGTAGTAGTGAAACTCTGAAATTGCAACTTCATTATCTGGGACAACCTGGTACAGTACTTGTAGCAGAAACAATCACTGCATGTGCTTCCCATCTTCCCCCGACTTAATCAGGTGGGAACCCAGCGGATCTCACCTTTGTCCTGGTCCATTGAAAGTGGGAGCATTGAAGCTGCACGTGCGATGATCCAAGACTTACTGACCATCCGAGCAGACCGAGATAGGCCACTCCGCCGGAGTCCATGGAAAACATGGCCATTTTAATAGGGAAAATGATGAGAAACCAGGTCAGAAGCCATGATCAATGATAATAAATGATGATGCATGATGATAAAGCATCAAACTTGCGGGGGTGCAGCGGGCTGCAGTTGCAGGTATTACTATGGCGTGGATGCGCTCTTCCAAGCTCATCCAGACATTGTGGAGCGCCTATGCTCCGCTGCCATACAGCTCTTGGGCACTTTGTTGGATGGATTAGTTTGGCGCTCCAAGCGCACCATCAATTCTGCTCGCCGAGTGAACTTCTACATCAAGCATTTGGTGGTCAGAGAAGGGAAGTTTGCTGGTGCACTCAATGCAATTTGTGTTTCACAGGATGTCAAAATCATTTCCAACCAGGTGCTTGTGCTGCTTTCCGATACACTATGGGCAGGCGTAGTTCGCCGGCAGTTTGTCTTGTCCAAAGTTGGCTTCCTCTTTAGCCTGGTGGTCTTCATGCTTAGTCAGGCCATCTTACCTAAGATCGAGACGGCTGATGAGCTGAATATGCGCATTGCAGTTTTTGCAGGTCGTAGTATCAACTATGGCTTCAGTATGCTGCGATTGCTCCTTTTCCACTGGAGACGCATTTACAAGGCTTACCGGACAGGTGCTGTTACAAAAGGCCGCTGTCCAGTGCCCTTGCAGCTTGGCACAAAACCCATCTCATTTGCTTGAAGAAACAACAATAGTTTGTGATTCATCTCAAGCGTTGCATTTTTTTGGCACAAGAATTGTCAATGACTTGAAACCCGACTTTGGTGCCAAGGTATTTGAAAGATGAGGATGCGAGGATGGGACTGCTCCTCCTCCTTTTGCTGATGGCGATGTGTGCCAGTGAACCTATGTTCTATTGCGCCTATGAGATCCCTGTCACAGGCCCCTCCGAAAAATGCCGGGAGGGACAAGACATGATGCAGGTTTATATTATTCTCTCAATGGCAGCAATGGTCTTGCACTGGCTTCTGGTGATCAATCTGTCAGTTTTCGCCACAAAGCTGGCAGCTTTCGTTCTGGTCATCAGAGAGGTGTTTGGAGAGGTCGGCAAATTCATGGTGGCCATTATCTTTATTTTGATCACCTTCAGTAGCGCGATTGCATCCTTGAGACATGATGTTGCCGAGCTTAGTACTCTTCCCAAAGCTGCAAATTGCCTTTTCGCCACAACGGTGGGCATTTATGAGGGCGACTATCGGGAAATGCTGCACCAGCCAGCCCTGTTGGGCGCGGTGTTTATGTTCATTACAGTGTCTGCAATTTTGCTCATCAATTTGCTCATTGCGCAGTTGAACCTTGCCAGCTTTCGCCGGGGCCGGCTGTTGTACTGATGGCCAGGAAAGGAACAGTCATTGAAAGGCTTAGGCTTAGGTAGAATTATATCATTGGACATCTAATCTAGCTATCCATCTAATGGAGCTATCAATCTATCAATCAATGAATCAATCTATCAATCAATGAAGCTATCAACCTAGCTGGGTATTTATTTGTCTGCCTGCCTGCCTGGCTGTCTCTGCGTTTATCTATCTGTCTAGCTAAATACAACACTCATGGCCACCCATACATTACCTATCCCCCTATCCCTCACTTCCTGCTTCATCATCCCAGTCACAGTACTCTCCGGGGTGAGGAACTGCTCCTACGACTACGTCTATGGCGACATGTTGGGATTTGCCCGTTTGGCTCGAGCATCTTTGATTGTGGATGCCATGGTGGCTTGCCCTCCCCAAAGGCCATGGAGGGAGAAGGACTTGAGAGAGAAGTCGTACGTACATACAGACATACAGACATACAGACATTGACATACACACATACACATACACATACAGATACATATACACATACAGATACAGATACACACACACACATATACATACACATACACCCACACATATACATACACATACACATACACATATACATACACATTCAGATACACATATACATACACATACACATACACATATACATACAGATGCAGATACACATATACATACACATATACATACACATACACATATACATACAGATACAGATACACATACACATATACACACACATACACATACACAGTCAGTATACGTACGTACATACATGTGCGTATATGTGTGTATATATAATATACAATTATATGTATATATATTGTATACATATAATAGATAAATGACACAAACTCAGACAAATCATCATCGATTTACCTGAAAGAATATCATGGAAAGCAGCTTGCATACTACAATCAGTTCATTTTGCCTTTGGCCCAACCTTTGTTTCACCATGCGATTCCTGAAATTTATTCACCACTGTGCAGGTTCGCCAAGTTCGTGGCTAGTCTTCGCTTCGATCAGCTTTTGGAGTTTGATGAGGGAGACGTAGGTTTGGGCGGTGGCATCCAGATCAAGGAGCCCGGCAATCAGAATCCCACTTCGGATGATATCATTCAGAGATATGGAGGCACAAGCTCTCCAGAAATGCAATGGCCGGAGGAGGAGCTGCTTGGCGGAAATGCTGCTGTTTGTTCAAGATGGTGGATCCCCAAACTCACAGGTTGATGGTTCAAGGGAGAACGGATAGGTGACTTGTAGTTTCCTAAGGAAAGAAGATCGCTACACCCGCATCAAAAACCTCATCATGTTGCTCAAGAAGCCTCCGGCGGAAACGTCAAAGCAAAGTTGTGGCAACTCCACAGACAAGACGACCAGCAAAGAGGATAATACGTTCGGAGAGGATTCTCTTCAGAGCAGTCATATGAGTCATATCAGTCATATCAGTCATCATTGAGATCACATGGGCATGGGTCAGTACTTAAGATTCACCAATTTATTGTATTGCCTACCGTTAGCATTTGAGTGTTGATTTTAGAAGCACAAAAGATATTGACCCACACCCACATCTCTTTTTTCAAGCCGTGCGCCGAGACCAAGTCTCGAAAGTTGCACTTAGTTCAGTTTCTACCACTAGACATTTGTGGATTCGTGTGGATTCGTGGACAGGATTTTCTTCTCTTGGCGACAGGGGCGTTTTTGGTGCCTGATCATTTGTACATTTATGGTTTCACCTTGACATGGATCCAATGGATGCCATCTGGCATGGACATGTCCCGCAAGAAAAAGGGCGCACTTTCGCTGCAGCTGTCGCACCGGCCATGCGTTTTTCGCTGTCACGAGTGCATTGCTGCATTGCTGCATCGCTGTCCGGTGCAGGGTGGTGGCTATGCGATGGATCTCAACTTTGCTTTGTTGGTGCTCCCTACCTTGAAGAGCCTCCAAACCACCATGAGGCCGACCTAATGACCGGGCTGTGACCTGACACATGATTTATGTGGTGTTTATGTGGTGTTTAAGGGGGAGACCGAAGATGACCCAAGAGTCAAACTGTCAAACCACTTGGAAATCTCTTTGGATTTTGTGACAGGAGGGTCAGCTCTTCTAGGGAGTGGGTGCCCATCGATGATGCTTGGAGAAAACTGACGGCTGGACCAGAAAACGAGAGTGAGATTAAATCTCTCTATGATGTCTACCCCGATTAAGAAGGCATTAAGAACCCCGAGTTGATGAATAGGGAATGAATAGGGAACGAATAGGGAATGAATAGGGAATAAGTGATAATTTGCTGCGTACTAGAATGGATAGCGGTTGTGTGTTACACCAAGCCTTGGATACGTGGGAATTCTCCAGGTCCTGGCATTGATGCCTGCCCCTGTCGATCCACTGGTTGAGAATCGGGTTCCCTATTAAAGATGTTCATGTGGCCAAAAAACGTCGGCAAATCCCCCATTTTTAGGTCCACACCCGGCTTAATGATCAATTGAGGATCCCATCAACTTTCACATCGTGATTGCAAGCTTCACCATGATTGCCTCAGCCATTCATATCGCTGGACATTGTGTCCCTCGTCTCTGCAGATAGTTTGTGCTAGGCTCGAAAGCTGGAATGATCCCTGAATGGTGAACGTATACAACCAATTAGAACCACAGTTGCGATGGATGATTTTCCTATCCAATATGGAAGCCTTTTTGAGTACCATATAAAACAGGGAGTGTATATAAACTATTTCCAACTCCTTTTTCAATGGGCTTTAAACAATTTTCGCCGATAGATCACCCAATCTATCGACTTCCTCACTGGTGCCAGGTGCATGCCTATATCATTCGCACCTCCCCAACGATCCAGTCGGATCCATTCGACCTATGGAAGTTGACATCCGAAGAGAAAGCCAGTGGCATGACCCTCTTCCATCAGGACTGGGACTTTTTTCCGGGCACGTGAAAGGAAGAGTATTGAGGGAGGAGTTTGGGGGTGATAGCCTTTGGTTTACCTGAAAGTGTGATGTATCTTGCACATGTATACACGTCTAAATCACGTATAAATCACGTATCCATCTATCTGTCTATCTGCCTATCTGCCTGTCCGTCTGTGCGTCTGTTCGTCTGTCCGTCTGTCCGTCTGTCCATCTGTCCATCTATCCATCTATCCATCTATCCATCCATCTATCGATCGATCCATCGATCCATCGATCCATCGATCGATCGATCGATCTATCGATCCATCGATCCATCGATCGATCGATCTATCGATCTATCGATCTATCGATCTATCGATCTATCGATCAATCGATCTATCGATCTATCGATATATATCTATCTATCGATCGATCTATCTATCTATCTATCGATCTATCTATCTATCTATCTATCTATTTATCTATCTATCTATCGATCTATCTATCTATCTATCTATCTATTTATCTATCTATCTATCTATCTATCGATCTATCTATCTATCTACCTACCTATCTATCTATCTACCTATCTACCTATCTATCTATCTATCCATCTATCTATCTATCTATCTATCTATCTATCTATCTATCTATCTATCTATCTATCTATCTATCTATCTATCTATCTATCTATCTAATCTATCTAATCTATCTATCTCTCTATGCATAATTTTGATGACAACATATTTTGTATAAACCCATTAGGAATATATTATACAGCATATGCAAGACTTATGATTAGCAATCGGTTGCTGGGCATCCCTATCAACCAGTACCAATCCACAACGCCAGGTCTTCAATATCCAATTGCGCTGTGCTGGATTCACCGGCATTGTGTTGACCGTCATGATGCTTGCCATCCTGCTCACCGCTGGTTCCTCAGATGACATCTTTCGATCCGCGTCTTTTCCAAACTAAGCATCACTAAACTCTGAATGCTGTGGCAATGGTGGTACTTACCGTGGATATTATTACTGTAATTGTTATTATTACATATTATTACTATTATTATTAGGCACTGAAACGATTACTACAATAATAGTCATATAGTAATTGTTCGTATTATTACTATTACTCCTCATATTATTACTATATGGGGATATTACTATTATGGCTGTATTTGCGTCCCATTTCACGTCCCTTTCACCTGAAACGGAGCCAGGCCTTGAACTGTTCCCGAAGACGAACCAACTGCATCAGCCGCAGGATCGGCGGCTTCAACCTGTGGCGCGGCATGTGGCGCTGGGATGGGAAGCTCCAGTTTCCCGAAATAGGGCTACCATGGGCCCCAAATCATCCAAGTCATGGATGCCCATGACTTATTGGCTACCCATGGTGACTTGGGGGACCCATTTTAGGAAACCTAGTTGTTAGTTGAACACCCATGGATGTCCATGAAATCTTCTGGATGTCCATTGGTCACGGGGCAACTTGCAGTTAGAAGTTGAGATGATGAGTGCTGCAAGCAACTTTGCAATGAACTCACTTTGGGTGCCTTCCTTGGTCTTTGGTTCCCAGGGCAACCTGAATGCTTTCTTCGGTTTGGTCCGTCTTTCCTTCTACAATAGACCACAAAATGTTGGACGTGGTCTCCACGTTTGGGACATGCCGTCCTGTTCCGAAGATGTGCTGGAGATTGTGGTCTTGCAAAAAGACAACTTTCTGTGGACAGTTTTGATGACTTATCTTTGCTAGTTGGATTTTGAAATGGATTCGAGGAGGGCGCTTTCCTGAGAGCTTGCCTACACTTGATGAGTGTATAAATGGCAGACGTGCACATTACCAGAGGTAAGAAACACTCCGAATTGTTTGCCATTTGGGGGCCCCCAAATCATGCATTTTTTCTTCAAACTGGTCCAGGTGTCAAGTTGAGGCCGGGGTTAGATCAGGGTGCTCCATCTGGGCCCCGGCATTTTTGCTGTAAATTCTCGTAGAAAATGGCTCTTGCGAGATGTCCATGTGCATTTCGCCTGCTCAAGCTCGCACAAAGTCTGCGGCGCGGGGTTTTCGACCTCTTGGGGCGTGGCATTTTTTCCGTAAATTCTCGTATAAAATGGCTCTTGTGAGATGTCCATGTGCATTTCGATTGCGCAGGCTCGCACGAAACATAGGCCTGCATTTCGACAGGCTCGCGCAAAGTGTGTGCCTAAGTTTTTCATCCGCGGAGCATGCGTGACTTTTTGCACGTTGCTAAAACGTTAACAGCCGTGAGTCGAAATGAGAGGTGCTTTTGGAGGTCGGTTTTCGTGGCAGGGGCAGTATTTGGTGAACTTGGACTACGTTTTCAAAGGGTCTAAAATTGCGTTTTGTGAAACTATCCTTGGCAGAAGTAAAGTCTTGTAGCGGTTTTGTGAAAATCTTTCAAAGCTCCTGGTGAACTCTTCTGAGAGGCCCTTGCGCGATCTAGTGTATGTCTGCGTACACGAAATCTGACACAGATATGCATGGACCTTGTTTCTGTGTCTGTGCATGAACCCGCTTGCGAATTCCAGCTGCGCTTGTGAATTCCTCGTGAGAAGCTCTTGCAGAGATCCTGGTGAAATCCTCCTCAGGAGGTCCTTGCATTAAGATCTTGACGATGCTTTGCACTGATTTGCACTGCTTTGCACTGCTTCGCATTGGTGCTTGTATGAAAGTTCTGCCGGGACTCTCATAGGAATTTCTTGCATGGTCAGGTCGTCTTCAAGGTCCGTGTTTGACGATCTTTTAAGGTTCTGGTATGAGTGAGGTCCTGATGACTAGACAAAGCGTTGTTTCTTGTGCCAAAACAAGTTCCTGCTGCTGCAATCATGATAATGTCTAACCTGGTCTGTTACTGCTCCATAGCTACTGTTGCTCGTATCTGGTACATTGACATCCTACCCCCCGAGTCTCTTGCCCTTGCCGGTGTTTTTTTTGGGGGATTTCCCATGATATAAACCATCCAGCTATTGTGGTACCCCCATGACTTAGGAACCCCCCATATGTTGCCACTTGCTTCAGTTGACCATGGCACTGTCGTTCCCAGGTTTTGGAGGATTCACATGTCCTGGAAATGGCTCTATGTGCTGTTGCTGCTCCATGCGCCGGCGCGGCTTTGGATTTGGCAGCCTGACAGAAATGTACCCTCTGATAAATTAACGTAGCGCACTGGAAGATCACAATTTGTAATGGGTAAATTATCATAAATCATCTACAAATGGGCCATTTCCAATAGCTACGTTAAGTAACTAGAGTAATCAGAAGGTAAATTGAGATGTGAATTGCCAGGAGCTTCAGTTCCAGCTTTGCATCTGTTCTTCTTGTTGGAAGATCCAGCTGGTACAAACCTTCTTTGGGGTGAAGCCACAGGGCTGGGATGAAGTGAAGATGGACCGAGGTTCTTCTTCCCTGCCATCTTTGTGGTGGTTGACCGACTGCTGTTGGCAAACCACCAAGCCCTGTATCTCCATTTGCGATCTGTGAAGCTTCTGCCCAGTGGCTTGGCAAAAAACATGATGGTATGACATACGGTCCGATTGATCATCAGGCTGACTTGCTACCTGCTAAGAAAAATGTATACATGGCACAATCTGTTTGTTGCGATCCAGGAGATGTCATCGGACTCACTTTCGAGCTACCTCAAGGATTCGCATATCAGGCTCAGATGCATGGTTGGAGTGCGACATGCAATCCAACAAAAGATGCTTTAGACTTAGAATTCTGCAGATAACTGATGAGATTTGAGGTCTAGAAATATATTCGTTGCAAACGCTGGCTGGAGCATTTAGCCCTGACGATATTTAGATTTCCTTCGTGCTGTAGCAGGGAAATATTCAGAAAGTGCTTGGCCCTTCCCAACTTTGCGGCTGCCCAAGCTTGGGTCCTGGCCTAGTTATTCATGCTGTTTTAGGGGATGGTAATACTTACATTGGCTGTGGTGTATATACTCAATATGTCTCAGTTTAAGTACTCCCTGCTGGTAGTTGGACCGGCACCCCCCCAGTGGTTGTGCGTCTTGTGACATGTTTTGACCATGGCTTTGGCATGCCAGGCTGGTCAGTATATCCTGCTGGGTTGGAAGGGCGAGTGGCATCCTTTTACCCTGACCTCTGCGCCAGAGGTCCATCGCCTTGGTACTGTCTGAAAATGGAAGATACCCCCCCAAAAGAGCAAGTTCACTGGGGAAGATGATGATCAACCATCAACTTTGGGGCTCCCGATTTTCAGACAATCGCGCTTCGACACATGTCTTTGATGACGCTTCGGAATATCCTTGGATGATTCTTGAAATGAGTCAGCACCCCATGAACTTCGATCGCTACGTTGATTGGATATCGACCCATTTATGGTTGGACAAGGTTGGACATCTTCAATGGCCCAGCGGACGTGGCAGGAAAATTGCATTAGCGTCCACATCCGTTCGCCCAACAGCTTGGACTGGCTCCTTGGTGATTGATCGCAGGGCATACAATCGATGTGTAAACAGTATACTCAGACAAGGACGTTAGGTGACATTTATTTAGATCACCTTTTCCATCATTTTCCCATAGTTTTCGGGTCATTTTCCCATTGGCAAACAGGTTGTGTTCCCGTTCTGCACCAGGTGCTCATCCTTGCGCAAGCGGCTTACACAGGATGCGCCCGCAGAAGCTGCTGGCATTGACCCTGCAGACAGCAAACCGCCCAAGGCAGCGGCGCATCATGGTTGGTTGATGATTATTCTGGGTATATATGGTTTTGTAACGACCTCACTGCAACCTCTCTGGAATCATGGTAACGGGGTAACTACTGCCAAAATAGCCTTGTTTCAGGTTTGTAAATCACTGTAATTTACAGTACCTGGATTCTTGGGGCTATTTGTATTTGTTGTAAAATCCTTTTTTGGGGATCATGTTTCATCATCCATGAACTGGGAGCAAAACATGGGATTTTCTGCAAACCAACCATTGTATTTTTGCACCTGACAGAAACATCAGTCTCAACCCAGCTTTAGGCATTTGGAAGGATTGTGCCATCACAAAGTCACGGTGCAGTACAGGGAATCATCTATGTGCTGTTTGATGTGGAATGTATTGAAGCGTCATAACCACAGCCAAGTACCGGCCAGGCTCCTCTGCTGATTGAGTACAGCAAGTGCGTGCTCTCAAACAGCAACTTGTTGATTTTTGATCCAGTCAGATGAAGTCGCCACCCGAAAAGGCACAATGGAGAACTCTTCCCACCGCCACAGCAGTGACATATTCAGAAAGGAAAACCAAACGACGATGTAAAATAGCCCAGATATCTTTTTTCCTCAATGACGTAGTATGCCTTGGCTTTTAGCCATTTTCAACCAACATGGTTTAGGAGTGGGATTTTTGGACGGAAATTTTAAGAGGACTTTTTAGCCCAGAGTATTCTTTGGGGAACTTCCCTGGGGATTCTTCAGAGGGACTTTCTTGAGATACTTTTCACGGAACTTCCTCGGAGTTTTATCATGAGAGCTTTCCGGCGGATTTCCTTTAGGAACTTCCTCCATGGTTTTTCTATGTTTTTCCCTTCTTTATCGGAACTTCCAGAGGAGTTTTGGAACGGACTCTTCTGCTTTCTTGAGGAACTTCTGTCAACACATTCGCCCGGGGGACTTTTCAGGAACCATCCCATCCCTGCTTTTTATTGGGCATCAGGCTTTTAAATAAGGATCTTCCAGACCTTTGAGGGAGCTTTGGAGCTTGGATTATTAGAAAACATCCCGCGGGATTGTCCAAGAACTCTTTGTTTGTTTCTCTTAAAGGCTTAAAGAAACTTCAAGGAACCTGCCCAGGGAATCTTTTAAGGAACTTCCACTGCTAGTTTTCCAATGCTTGCCCTTCAAATTTTGGTGATTTTCCCCGGCAGAACTTTTGAGGGGGGACTTTGTGGGTTCACAGTTTCAGAGGCGCCTGCAACACATTTCCACGGGCTCATGTTCCCCGGCCCTGAAGTCTAAGGTCCCGTTGTCTACAACACTCCCAGGGTTGCACAAAAAACCAGTGATGAGGTGCCAGGGTGACTTGTACTTCTTGTTGTTGTTGTTGTTGTTGCTGCTGGTGGTGGTGGTGGTGGTTTGAGGCATTGGGAGAGGCCTTTGCCGGGCAGACTTTGATGGGAGCTGGAGCTCCCTGATTTTCACACCGAAACATGTCTGAAAATGGGCCTTTCCCCCCCATCTATGGCAATTTTCATAGGGAACATGATAATGAACCAGTAGTGTTACCCTAATACACCTGGTCTTATGCATCTTCACCCCCCATTGCAATGATCCCCAGATCATCTCCATTCAGGGCAACATGGAGAACGAGGGCCCGCGACTATTGGGCCGAAGCACTTCAGGCCAGGAAATCGCCAGACATGGAGGTTTTATGGCTCTGCAATTTCTTAACTATCCAAGAATGGTGGATGGTATTGTTTTTGCAATCCATTTTCTTTTGAACCCAATGAAACCAATCAGGGGTTTAATGGGTAGTTTTGACTGTGTTTGACTGCTTTTACACTCACGCAATCGGACTGCTTTCAGATTTTGGGGAAGCCACCTCAAACAAAGCGGATTGCCCTGCGCCTCAGACATACCCTGATGCCTGACTGCAGTCCTGAAAAGCTCCAGAAACACCCAAAGATCCACATGCTGTTACATCTCATTTTGTTTGGGCCCATGACTTTTTTCTTTGGGAGGCAAGCAAGTGGAACCTGTGCAGTCTGGAGAGACCATGGTCAGCATCTTGCCCTAGATGGCACTGATCAGCCTGGCTTGGACAGGTTGCCGCCATATTACCACGAAATGTGCCTGTCAAGTTGATTCCAGCCATGACCTTCGAGAACGGAGGTTGAAATATGCAAGTGTAAATTGGGATGTGTCTCCATTTGCATCACGATAGACATATTGCTGTGGTTTCCCTCATTTTCTGCTTCAATCCTTCACATTCAGATGGTATTCTTTTCATGCATAGTCTGGGGATGTCTGGGGTCTCTGCTCAGGTCGAGTTCAGCCGGGCATGCTCCCACGTGAGGACTGGGGCACCATTCCCACAGTGAGCTCCGAAAGAAAATTGCATAATGGGGGAGGAGAGTACATTTCCAAAAAGATAGAACAGGTTCAATTTACGACTATTTCAGAAGGATTTTACTTTTTACATCTGGGCTTTGCAAAGTTTGCTATACCCATGGCCCCAGCCCTTTTTTTTCGGAGGCCGTGGTCCTGCAAGTGACGGGTCCCTTTGGTGCTCCGGCGCAGCGACTTGACTTGGTATTGACAGAAATTGACACCTATGGTGACTAAAATGGAGGATCCCATTTTAAAGAACCTTTCATTTGAATTTGGAGGAAGGGTGCCACAACAGCTTCACCACTTCGCTCAGGAAGGTTTGGGGCTTCGAAACGTTGATGGTGGTCGGAGCTGGCATTGGTGTCCTATGGCTCAGATGACTTGCTTTGATAAAACCCTGTGAGTTACCGGACACTCCCAGAGTCATCACTGTTCACTGTGAAGTCCACAGCACGTTTTGGATGATTTTGGATGATGTTTTGGTTAGCAATTTGCTGCATCCATGAGACGTATGACTTTGTATGCTGATACCGAAAACCAGTTTTGACACAGAGGAAGTGCCAGTAAAATTGTTGAGATATGTTGAGATTTCTTTCACAACTTGGGTGAAACATATATTTGTACTGGAACATTTTGAACCTCTGTCTACAACATATTTCATGATTTTTTTTTAAAATCATATTTCAGTACGAATTGCCTCAAATCTACACGTCTTCATCTTCCAGCTGTGGAGGTCACCCCATTCGCCTCCATTTTGCGATCCGTGCAGCTGCGAGCCAAGCAACGAGAAACCATCATGAGTACCGCTTCCAGGCGCTGCGCATCCGTTGATTTCCCGCATCTGATAGCCTTGGTGTGTGAAGATTTACGCCATGGCATCTGATAGCCATGTAGATCATATAGGTATCTCCAAAAATGGGAGTTTCCTCAAATACGGCATGGAAAAATACATGCTCTATGAGAGAGTATTTCGAAGGTGCAGCAAATGTACCCTCCTGCAATCTGAGCTTTGAAAAACATCTCCCCATTTGTAGAGGATCTACCTATATTTCCTAGAGGATTTACCTGTATAATCCTGTATATGTATAATGTAACGTAGTATAAACAAATAAATAATAAAGATAGGATGTATATATATATATAATTATCTATCTATATATATATGTAAAACATACAAACATACATATACATAAAGACATATACATATATTTTAAAATCATATATATATACATACATCTATACAGTATATACATATAGACATACAATATATACATACATATACATATATACATATACATATATACATACATACATATATATATATATATATGTACATACATCTATACATATATACATATATACATATATATATATATACATATACATATATATATATATGCTCAGCCCCCCCGACCCCCCAACACAACAAAAAACATTTTTGTACACTGGCCGTTCGGTGTCTTCATGCGTTCAAGCTTGCAGGAACCAATCATTTAACCACCGCAGCTATGAACATACTGGGTCTGAGGATCAAGACTGTGTGTTCCAATTTTGAAATGTTCGGCCATGTCCTAGATAATAACCTTAGTTTCATTCTATACTTTTTTGAAAAACATGTTGCATAAATTGGTGGCACACTTTGCTGAAGTAATACGACCATCTTCTCGAGCATTATTGCATCATCGATGGAATCTGCTGTAGACTCATGTTACACTTTCTTGGAGGGATGCTGCACAGATTTGCCAAGAAACTATTCACTTTTAAAACTACATATACATACACATGTATATATATATACACATACATATGTGCATCTTCAAAGGAAGGCTTTCCTTGATTGACACAGATTTTGCACAGTTTGCAGTAATATGACATTTTTTTTTCGAGCAAATGCTGCACTAGTTTGAAAGAGATATTGTGGTAATTGTGCTACTGCACTCTTTGCATAGACATGTAGCACTTGTTTACATTGCCATAATTATATTTGAATAAGTTTGCTTTAAGATTTAGGATTTATAATTACAATTTGTTATGCATTGTTTGAAGCCATATTCTACTTTGTTTACAAAGATAAGATATTGCACATTTTGAAGACCTTTTGAAAGTTGAGTCCCATAGCACCCTTTTCAAAACAAAACAACATTTCCATAGAACAGTTGTACTCTTTGAAAGGCCATATTGCAGAAGGTGGTGCAATACTTGCTTTACAACAAAAAAACATATTTTTCAACAGGCTTTTGCATCATCAATGGAATCTACAGTAGGCTCTTGCTACACTTCCTTACAATAATGTTGCACACTTTGCAAACAAGAATCTGCACTTTCAAAGGTAAAGCACATGTTTCAATGAATGTGTCACTAAGATGGCACTCTTTTCAAAACCATGCTTTAGTAATTCAAGAATAGATTCAATCTTGCAAAACAGCATTCTACATTTTCCTACAGGAATGCTATGATTTCTGAAATCATTCAGTACATACATAGGAGGGATCTCCTTGAAATTGGGAAGTAATGCTACACATCTTTCAAAGAATGCAACAATGTTTGCAAACGGTTGTTGCATACATGGAGGAATGGTGTTCTTTATGTAAAGTCATTTTACAAGTGATGTTTGCATGTTTATTTTCCTTCATTATTTATAGAGAACATATTGCATAAATTGGTGCCTGTTTAAAATGCACATTTTTTTTTCAATGCTATTTATCTTTCAAACAGTGCCACACTTTTTGCAAAGGGTTGTTACATTGACAATGGTATTCTTCATGCAATATCATTTTACAAGTGCAGTTTGAACATTTATTTTTTCTTCATTGTTTATAGAGAACACATTGCATAAATTGGTCCCTGTTTAGAATGCACATGTCCAAAAGAACTATTGCATATGTTGAGGGAAACTCCTGTAGAGATGTAGAGTCTATAAAATTTTAAAGCAATGCTGCACTCTTTGGAAAGGCATTTGCACTTGTTTGTTTTGTTGTGTTTATTTATTATTCATGCTTGTTTTGGCTGAAGCTATATATCTATGTAGGACATTGGGAGAGCTGTTGAGAATGCACAGTGGTTGCTTTTGTTGCAGAAGCAACAATGTTTGGTTTTGGAAAGAACAGGGTTTGGTATCTTTTGCAGAAATAAAATGTCAAAAATGCAAAAAAAATGCGCTCACAACACCCCCCTCCCTTTTTTGTGTGTGATGATCAAAACTTATGAAACAGCGCGCTCCCACAGCCTGCCACTCTCAAAAAAAGGATATTGGCATCTCAAATCATCCATGGGTGGTATATATATATATATGTATATATGTGTATATATATATATAAAATATGCTCAGCCCCCCACCCCAAAACAAAAAACTAAAAAAACAAAAAAAAACAAAAAAAACAAAACAAAAAAAAACACAAAGAACAGAACCATGGGGATTGCAAGATCTCCAATGGGTTTGGTTTCTTTTTTTTTGTTTTTCTGTTTTTGTTTGGTTTTCTCCAAGGGGCCCTCCCCAAAGAGTCTCCACATATTTTTTGTTGGTTCAATGATTTTTTTAATTCTCTGCTAGGGATCCTCCCCAAAGAGTATCAGAATATTGTTGTGTTTTTGTTTGTATGAAGATGTACGTATGAATATGTACAAATAGCCGCAAAATGTGAACATAAAAAATGAGCATGTTATATTGTAAATCACAGTACAAACAGCATGTCGGGGGGTCGTGGGGGGGGGTGACCATGTATATATATATATACGTATATATATATATATATACAAATGTATCCTGTATTTCCCCGCAAGAAAATGATATTTTCCCTGCCAGGTTAGTTCTGGATCCATCAGCATCGCCAGGCCTTCAGCCTGGAAGAGTGCCATGGGACAAGGTGCGGAAAGTTGCATGATGGAAAGAAACATCATTTCCAAAGTAAGAACAACAATGTTAGCATTTTTCACTCCAGGCCTTGCTTTTTGTGTACTCTCCACATTTTTTTCTGAGTAGACCTTCGAAATCACATGTGAATTTCGCCTACAGGCCCATACCCTGAATCATTGAAGTGAAGGGTTGAGGTGTGACCTCAGTGCCCTCCACAGACACTGTGAGGAAGTGACGATGCGCGGGCTGGACTGCAACGGTTGGTTGAGGATCTGGTGGTGGTTCCGAAGAAGTGCTTCAGCTGCACAGTTTCGGGCCAGGTGATATCATTGCTGTCATTTTATCCTATTGTCATGTTGTTTGTCATTTTTTCTAGTTTTCTCGTGTTTTTTTGTCATTCGCTTCCAATTTGTTTGTTGTTTATAGTAACCTTGTCATTTTTGGTCCTTTTCTGGTTTGCAGGGTTTGGGTCGGCGGCTCCGCCCAAAACTTACTTCCTTGCAACTGTTGAGTCAGTTTTTGCCACGTTTCCGTCATTTGATGTCATTTATTCTTCATGTGTTTGCAATTTGTTTGTCATGTTTGTGCCATTTTTTGTCGTTTCATGCCATTGTTACTTTTGGGACTGGTTGGTTTTCGAATTATCGGAAACCAAATTAAACGACAAAAATCACATGACGAATGACAAAGACCCAACGAGAAAGAAATGACGAAAACCTGACATCTTTTTGACAACCCTCAGTCTGTGCTCGCAAGATGTTCGCAACAAATAGTAGGACAATCCCATGTATATAAGTGATGTCAGCATCAGCCAACAGTGTGCACACATGCAGCATGACAAAACCAATTACCAGAATATGACAAAAAACACATCACGAAACAAACATTTAGGATTGATTTTCCAGTGTTTGCAGGCCTCAGTGTCAGCCTGGCAGAGAGCAATTCTTTGGGCATACTGAGAATAAAGTTGAATCAAAGGACATAAGTCTGGCGCTTCCCAGGATATGACCGGAATCTCACTCAGGATCTACTTCTACTGGATTTGCCGTGGTCAGGCCTCTTGCACACTGCAGCATATGGAAGGGAATCATGTTGCAAGGATGGTGCATGTTATGGTCAAATCGGTTTCTAACAGGGGTTGGTAAACGACCTATTCAAACCTTCATGGACAGCCACCACGAGCTGGAGCTCCAATGGCATTTTGTTTGGCGAAGTCCCCATTTGGTTTGTTCTCTGGACTGAGTTTGGTTGCCGAGATCCTGGTTTGGTTGGTTGTGGGTGGTTTCATACATACACACATATATATATATATACGTATATATATGCATATCATTGCATATCCATATTTGTCATTCTTTGTCACAAGCATTGTAGGATTCGGTTGGTTGGTTGGTTGGTTGGTTGGTTTGTTTGTGTGTTTGTTTGTTGGTTGGTTCCTTCGTGGTTGCCTGGATCTCGGCCACTGCAGGAAGAGTTTGACTGGTTCTGCGATCTTCTTTCTGACGCAGCAGAGGGTCCAGCGGCAGGCAAGAGGGCCCGGCCCCGGAGGGCCCAGGGCAGCGCAGGGGGCCAAGGGGGGATCTTATTGTGACCTCCCGAATTGGAGATGTTTTCAGATTGATACACAAGTAACAAACATCACATGGATTGGGTTTGTTGATACCAGGTTTTCAGTCAGATCCAAATGGTTTGGGGGAGTATTTGTAGCACGTCCAACAGAAGACGTTGCCGAGCAAACATTGGACTCCCCGAATCCAAAAAATGTCGTGGTTCTTTATACCGTTTCATTGAAAGGACTCAGCTGACTCAGCTGCAATCGCTGCAGGAATCGTTGACATCACTCTCTTCTTGACAGGTGAAATCGAGCTGTCTCAGGTGGCTAGTACTGGAACTGGAGTGGGACGGTGGTCAGGTGTCCTGGTTTCGGGTACTGTAGTGATCTGTAGTGTATCCAATCTTGACCAATATCATTGCTCTCTAAATTTGAGTTCGGCCACTTATGGAGTATTTTTCTTCAAACCTCCCCCGATTTTTCCCAGTTGTAGATTCGAGGTGAAGAAACTTCCCTGTGCCAGTGGCCAGTTCTTTGGGCGACCCAACTGGGGTCGTATCTTCAAGCAGTGGCCCGTTTTTTGCGCGGGCGGGACTGGTGCATGGTGCGAAGAGTCCTCTGGGTCCACTGATTGCGGAAATTCATCAGCGACCATTTGGTTATGACTAACATAGCCATGGAAAATCCCAACCATAAATGGAGGTTTTGATGGGAAAATCATCATCTATAAATGGGCCATTTTCCATGGCTATGTTAAATAACCAGAGGGTAAATGTATGCAGGATGTTTATCCACTCTTGGGCACATCAAACTTGTGGCAAGTGGCATGGGGTTGTTGTCAAGCTTCCAGTTTCAAAAATGCGGAAATGTACGTAACAAGACTGACAAGACCCACCAACGATGAAGGTGCCGTTAAAGTCACAGGTGGTGAGGCTAGGACTACCAGCTGACCAGCAGAGTCGTGGCAATGTCCTGGCAAATGCGCCATGTAGAACTCTGTGTGACATAGATTGACATACAGATAAGAATCAATGAGAGCAAGATAACATTCCTGAGCACTTCAGCTTCAGCAGGATATCCCAGCATATCCCAGCCATTTTTGCCGCATGTTTGGAAAGCCGCAATGCACTGCAATGCCTAAGGAACCGTGAGAAGCACAAGGGTGAGCACATTGGCGTCTTTTTGTCATGATCTCAGCCAAGATTTTCAATCTTAACTGTAGTCGGGCTTTTCTGAGCCCACGACTCGTATCAAAGTTCAACACTGCTCTCGAAGTGTTGGGTTCCACCTGTGGCAAGCTGTGCCGACGAGAATCTAGTCTCTTCAAGCTGGGCCCCTTGATTGATGCTACCAGATGTGATGTTTTTCCACATGCTGGGTATCCAATTCTCCAATCGTAATTTTCACCAAACAAAAACATCATTTTCAGGTATATAGTATATACATGTATATATACTTTATTTCTGAACAAGTCTAGTTTGGCAGTTTATTCATCCCACGAGTTTGACAGGACGGACTTTGGGACCGCCTTCGTGCCAGGTGTGGCTCGCCCATCATTGGAGAGGCTCTGTCGCGAGAGAGCATCAAGAACTCAGAACCTGGGACTCCTGGGACAGCCTGGGACAGCCTGGGACAGCCTGGGACAATGGATGACAATGGATTGATGAACAGCCGGCTATACCAGCTATGTTGGTGTGAACACCAGTTGGAACACCAGGGTACTGGGGTGAAGTGACCCATGCCCAGCTATCGCTGACAGATTGGGCCACAATTTTCCGAACCATGGGGAGTGGCCAAAACCATCGGGTTCTCATTCAGATTTAGACCATACAATAGTAATCCTTGTGTGTTTTTTTGGATGTACTCGATTTCGAAACGTTCTTGGTGCATTTTTTCATAGCATCTCAGCGCATGACTTTGGCGGGCCCGGCAAGATGCTCTAAGGATTTGGTGGGAACTCCTGGTGGCACGCGCTTCTCCTTCTTTAAGGAGTTCTTGGCACAGGGGAGCCAAGAGAGCCTGAGAAATCCGCGAGGTCATTGGATGGTTTTACAGGATTCCAATGTCTTGGTCAGTTGCCACTCAATTGCCAGGAGCATTTCTGATTTTGCTCCTAAGAGCTGGGGTGACCTGAGCTTGACCAGGCAAAATTGCATTGCAATGAATTGCATTTTAGGGCTTTCAGCTGGGCATCAGCGATTTGTCCCATATCTGTATGGTGAAGCGGTTTGAGAGCAGCCTAGAGCAGCCAAAGTTTGCAACTTTTTGCACGGTTGGGGGTAGCTTTGGTCAGGCTTGCGTGCCTACATCACCAACTTGGTCAATCTCATCACTTTCATGACAGGTGCTTGAAAGCTGCGCCGCTGCGGTTCTTGGCATCCAAGTGGCGTTTTTTGTATGATATGTACTTACATCCAGTCTCGGAGTGGTTGATGGTTGATTGGGAGCATCTTTTCAAATCCTTCAAGTAGCCTTGGACTCTTGGACGTGAAATCCGATTTTGGTGCATCCTAATCAACCACCTCGAGCGCGGGGGTGCAAGCCCCACCAGCCTTCAGCTAGTCTTGGCGAATGCCTAGCACTCCACGGCCGGTGTGAACGCTGGCAGCTGGCAAAAAATGTCGCTGTCTGGTCTGTGGAGTGAGTCAATGTGGTCACGTCTCGTGTGCTGCGTTGCTCTGTGGAGCGCCATTTCGATCGCTTCACTGATTTCGCCAAGAGGGTTTTCCTCGCGCACCTGTACCTCGGGCCGCTGGGTGCCCCGGCCCTGGACGCACCGGTAAAACTGATGTGGCCAAGGCCGGTTGAGAGGTATCCACATGACCGGCGACAGCTTCAAAGCTGGTCATGCCGCCGACTCAAGGCTTACAGCTGCGCTTAATTTGAGTTTGAATTCAGGGGAACTAACGAAGTTTACTCCAAGTTGTCGAAACTGCAACAGAACTATGTCATAGCGTTGCTTTACTTTCCTATTTGCCCACATTTTCATTGACGGCACAGAATGATGGATGAGGTATGGTATAGCCATGTATAGCCCATGTATAGCCCAATAGCCCATGTGACTTCATCCAGTTTGGAGTAATCCAGTGATCCTGATCGAGACACCGAGACACGCCTCGCCTCGAGGTGTCGGAAAGGTCCCGGGACCGGCTTTCCGGCTTTCCGGTCTCCCTTTCGTCGAGTTCCCAGCTTTTCCAACCAGGGTCGGCCACGAGTGCTGATTGATCTGATTGTTCATACTTCATCCACTTGTCACTTCGAAAAAGCCGAGTTGCGTGGAGTTTTCCAGTGCGAAGCTTGTTAACAGCTCTAACTCCCTGTGACATGGACAGGAATCCTCCTAGATCCTAGATTCTACTAGATTTTTTGTTATCTTTCATTTGGGTTGGCCACTGAGTAGACTCCTTTCGATTTGTTGAGCTGCTGCCACATGCGCCTGGCCCCGCCGGCAATGCCAGGATTGTTATTGCAGGTATCAGGTCCTGAATTTTTCAGCTGCAGAAGCCATGCAAAGTTGGAAGTCAACAGAAGTCAAGCCTGCGGATATGATATGATACGATGTACTCTAGATTAATGTAGAGTAAACATGTATTGTATTCATATACAAGATCTTCCCAGCATCTACCAAAACAGGCAAAACATGAAGCCCCGGAAGGGATCTCCGATATTGACCACACATAGAAAGCTGCTTTGCGGTTTGGACTCTTCTGATTCCACATGGAGGCTTTGCTGCAACCCAGACAACATGGAAGCTGCACTCTTGACGTCTCTTGACAATGATCTCACATCCAAGTTGCCTATGTTGCCTTGTTGCTGGCAAGGAACCTTGGCAAATGCTGCTGCTAGCTTTGATGGTACTGCCTGCTCGCGCAGATATGTACTTGAACAGTGGGGTTCCCAGAGGCAATGCGTAGTCTTCACCTCGATGCTGTGATCAATCTCGAGGTATCAACCAATCGCTGGCCAGTGTGGTCCGGGTGGTTGAGATGTCACGGTAGCTTTTCAATTGCAATGAACCTCAACAATTAATGAGAAGTAACTGTCAGTATAAAAGGATATTAAAGCATAAAGTCATCCTAAACATTCCCAGGCTGTATCAATAAAAGCGGGCAAAAGCTTCCACACAAGACACATCATGATCCCCGGGTCACCATTGCCCAGATCCTCGTGGTTCCAACAACAAGCTGCGTGAACAGAGCAACAACGTGCAAAATGCCAATCGAAACTCAGCTGCAGAAGCTGTGACTCGCATGACTTTGACCAGGGCCCAGTCATGGTTAGCGACGGAGCCTCCAAGGTCTGTTTGACTCGCAGAACAATGCGGCCTCGGGATATCAGATTGGGGACGACTGCAAGCCAGCCTGCAAGGACCCAATTTGGAAATTTCAAGGCCGTTGCCTTGACAAACGCGGTCTCCCATTACTGAGTTAGACCCATGTTGGTGGATTTCAGTGCCTAATTTTTGGAAGGTCCGTTGTTGGCTGTTATTGCCGTGCCGACATCGTGAGGATGGGAACAACAACTATGATGTCACAAAAGAAGGTGCGACGAAGGGTACCATGAAATTCTACCAAGGCTGGGTTCATGTGGAGACCAGTGGCATGGGTTGACCATGTTGCAGCCTGCAATGGCTTTCTGATGCCTCAAGCCGATGGGATGTGGAACATCCTCAACAGACATCTCCACACAGCTGGATAATGACTGACAGGATCTGAGCTTTACATTGAATGGCACCATCAGCAACTTGGCCCAGGAGATTGTGCAGGAAAAGCTTTTCAACTCCGAACGTTTGGAGGATCTTCTGTGAACATTTCAACTCTAAAGAGGATTAAAATTGCAGACCAGCAGTTGCATGATCTGCCGCTCCGAGCCTTGCATCCTGAGATATTCTGAGGCATGGCTGTGGAGTCGGTCATCCAAATGTGAAATGTCAAATTATCCTGCAGTACATGAGCTGCTTGGCATCATCCGATCATCCCGGCCCAATGAGAAGACCGGAAGCTTCTAAGATGTTGAAGACTGGATGTCACTTGACATCCTGAAGTGCTGTGCAGATAAGCCATGACAAGCCGATACTTGTAATTCAGCCCTCTGAACTACTAATTTCATCTAATTTCCCTCGGAAGGACCACTTGCTAACATCCGGCTCAGGCGAAAGTGACAATGTCAACCTCCGCGATGGCACAGGCACCTTCGTTGCTGTCACTGCACCCAACTGATATGGGTTTGTCATGGTTTGTCTGGAAACTAGCAAATTTCATCAAGGAACATGAGTTGAACATGAGGATCAACCACGGGCTTTTGGGGTACCTTATTTTCAGAAAGTCTTCAAATCTTCCCAGGACAAGACAGTGCTGGTGGAGATGACAACGACCCTACTGAAGCTGGAACAGCTGAACCGGCGCGGGGCTATCACGAGCCTTTGGAATTCTACGAGGCCATGGAAGCCACGGCACAGCTGTTGAGGAACCTGCGGTGGTCGCGAAATTCGAAATTGGCAGGAGGAAAATTGGACAGTTGGAATCTATAGATGAAGAGTAATGACTTCAGAGTAAGGCTGCTCTCAGCATCTCAATTCTTGGGAAGGTCATCAAGTGTGATCTTAGATGGATGCACTCTGAATCCTGAATGGTCGTTTGACCCCGCTGGCAAAGATGGGTCTGAACATAGGGCATCCCAAAAAATCCATTGGATTTTCATCATTTTCCCTAATTCATGGCCACAAATTGGAGGGGTAAATCGCACTTTCAGACACACACAGAGACACACAGAGACACAATTATTTAATCTATCTATCTATCTATCTATCCATGCATGCATGCATGAATGCATGCAGGCATACATACTTACATACATACATACATACATACATACATACATACATACATACATACTTACATACATACATACATAGATACATAGTGGATGTATTGTATATCCCATATATATATATACACCATTAAATCCCACTATATGCCTGTTCTGATTGGTTAATGTTGGTATAATCATTCCCAGATGCAATAAGTCCCTTGCGAAGTGATTTAACAGGCATGTGCTCAGCGCCAGCGCAATGAGGGCCTCTACACCGCTGATCAGTGCCACGGAAGTTCGTGGGGATTCGTTTGGGATGAGCAATGAAAGGATGATCCATTTAAAAAGTGGTAGGCCCCTACGGTGGTACGATTAATTGAGAAAACGTGCAAAAATTGCGAAATCGTTCAGTTTTCGAAAAACATACAGAAAGTCGCGCACTTCGGAGTAAAATTCAATCACTTTCTGTCAAATTCGATCAGTTCGGGCAAAAACGGACTGACGTAACCTAAACTCGGTCAGTTTTTGGATTCGGGCGGAGTTCGGACACCAAGTGCGAAAATTTCGGAGTGC